ACCGTTCACGAGGTTAACATTCAGAATCAGAATCTTAGAAGAAACAAAACGAAACTGAGGTGCAATTCTCTCTGTGCAAAGAAAGACACAGTCACTCAATAACAAAAAGGAACAAACACAGAACATATATCTAAAATATATGTGTACAATATATATACAAATATGTCTACTGTATAAACAACAGACACAATTGTTTTCATATTGCACTAGTTCCCATTTGCTGGTGTTGATGTAAGGGAGGGGCGGAGCCATCTGCTGCGACCAGTTGTGGTGAAACGGGGAAGACAGGATAAAGACGTGCTGTGGAAGAGAGCCAGGGATTAATAACAAGCAATAAGTCAATGCAGAGAGGTCTATTAACACATAGTGATTGAGAAAGGTGACTGAAGTTGTAAGCATGTAAACATAATACTGTGAGAAGTACAGCCACTGAATCACTTTGATACCTGGTGTTACTTTTACAACCCTTAAAAATAAACAATAAAGTTAAATAATAATGAAATAACGTTAATTAAACTATTTTATTATTGACCTGTGAAGTTACAATCTCATGACTCTTGGTCTCACCCTGCAGGTGAAAATTAAGACCTGCTGCCTTTTGAGGCTGTGTTGCAGTAAAAACAATAAAGAAAAACGTGCGAGACATTAGAAATTAAAAACAGTAGGCACTCAAGTGGTGGAGCAGGTTCTCTAATAATCCCTGGACTGGTGGTTGGATGCCTGCTCCATCAACCTGATTACCTCTGTGTGTTTGATGAGATTTTTTAATTAATAAAGGAAATGTATTGATGCATGCTCAATCATCCAGGTAAGTAAATCTCCCAAAAGTTGATTCTGTTTATCTGGACGTAGCGTTTTGTGGGAGAAACGTTTCATCACTCATCCAGGTGACTTCTTCAGTCTCAGCTGACTGCAGGTTTCCCCAGTCTTATAAACAGTACATTTGCATAATGACTGAAACCAGCCCACTGAAGGAACAATGGGCTGGGAGGTCAGTTCCTTAATCTTAATTATGCAAATTCTCATTAACTTGGTGGACCGACACATCAAATTCACCAGGGAGGATATGAAAAGTGGCAGGTTAGCCTTCTTAGACTGTGAGATTTCCATCAGTAATGGGGGACATCTAAAAGCTGACGTGTATCGTAAACCTACACATACAGATCAGTATCCAAGGTTTGACTCTCATCATCCACTGGAGCACAAACTGGGTGTCATCAGGACGCTACAACACAGAGAGAACCCCATCCCCACTGACACAGCGGCCAGAGAGGCAGATGAACAGCACATCAAGAAGGCCCTGAGTAAATGTGGTTATCCCAGCTGGACTTTTGTCAAAGCGGGAAAGGCACCTAAAGAAAGCTCCGGCCGATCCAGGAGAGAAGAACAACCGCTGCCCAAGCGAAAACCTGTAGCGATCCCATATGTGTCAGGAGTATAGAGCAGTTGAGACGCATATTTCTAAACACCAGGTCTCTGTGGCTTTTAAACCTCAAAAGACGCTGCGCCAAACACTGGTCCACCCCAAGGATCGGGTCCCCCGACACAAACAGAGTAACATAGTGTACACTGTTAAGTGCCAGGAGAATTGCCAGGATTTATACATCGGGGAAACCAAACAACCTCTGGCAAAGCAGATGGCACAACACAGAAGAGCCACCTCGTCAGGCCAGGACTCTGCAGTCTATTCACACCTACAGGCCAGTGGACACTCTTTCAAGGATGAGGATGTACACATCCTGGACAGGGAGGAACGCTGGTTTGAGGGCGGAGTCAAGGAGGCCATTTACGTGAACAGGGAAAGACCATCTATGATGCCACAAAACGCTACGTCCAGATGAACAGAATCAACTTTTGGAGTAATAATAAAGGAAATAAATAGAAATAATATTAACAATAAAACTAAAAATCCCTAAAGTTCAGCTGCACACAACATCATCCACAGAGTATACAACATAAACCCTTTGTAACAATTCAGCCATCATGGTGACACCTGGTCAGTGTTTATTACACCTTTGCTGCCATCACGTGGGGGAAAGAAAACAGCCAGCTATCTTTAATGTCCCTGCATGCAGCACAGGAAAGGCCATGCCACCCAGTGTTTCTGAGTTTTACGTTATTTTGTTATTTCATTTGTATTCTTTTTAGTTATCTAGTTATTTTGTGAGGCCTAGTTTGCAGTTTAGTTCATGGTTTATCAGGTTCCCTTGTGTCATGTCAACATCTCCATGTTTCCTGTTTTATTTTGAAAGAGTCCAGTGTTCTTTGTTCATTGTATTTAGTTTCACTTCCCCTGTCCTGTCATTAGGTTCATGTGTGCCAGCTGTGCTCCCATGTGTGGCCACTTCCCTTGATTATCCCTTATGTGTATTTAGTCTCTGTGTTTCATTCAGTGTATGTCGTGTAGTCTGTGTAAGCGTCCCAGTTATGTCTCGTCATAGTTGTCACGTTTCTCAAAGCCACAGTCATAGCATGAGTTCTCGAAGTTTCATAGCTTTATCACAGTTTCATAGGGTTTTCTTAGTCTGTTTGCCAGTTTAGTTGTCTTCCCTGCACTCATCGTAGCTTTTGTTTTTGCCTTCTGTCATCAGCCATAATAAAGGCTTGCGTTTTGTTAAGTCATGTCACGTCTCCTTGCCTATGTCTGCTCTTGGGCCTTGCTCAAAAGAACACACCGAACGAACACACTGTGACAAAAGTGTTAAAATGTGCACTCCAGCCCAAAGTTCAACACAAAAGGTTCTTGGTTCACTGCAAGATAATTACTATTAGTAGCTGAAATAAAGTGTGTGCCACTGTGAGATCGTCTCTTTTAGAAGACTTATGTTGTTGTTCTGCTATCGTTTAAAACATTCTTCAATCAAATTTTGTTTAATCACAAACTAATGCACAAAAATAAGCGGTTAGGCCTCACCCATCAAACCTTCCTTTTTTCTTTTGCCTTGCAGCTTTAAAATCCTTTGTCCTCTATCCCTGCTCTACACACGATCAGATCATCTCTCATCTCTCATCTGCTCAAATCGAACTTCTCCTCTGATATACTCATTTTTAACTCTGACCAGCTGGCCACTCTGAATTAAATCTTTGCATCTTCAGCTTAGCCTCATGCTTTTTGTTAATGCCATCATCACTTTAAACCATACATCATAGCAAGTAGAAAAAGACTGATAATGTATGGCTTGTTTGTAATGGCCAACAGGAGAAAGGCTCTTCTTTCCAAAGAGAACAGGGCAGAATGAATCCACTATTATTACAAGAAACATCAGTCATCAGAAACATAACATTAGAAACATAGCATCTCTGAAAGATTCTCCAACTGGCAGGAAACCAGTTTAACATGGTCCTGTGATGTATTCTCCACCCATAGTGTGCAACCTCATTCCTGTGTATGTATTAGATGGTGAGCAGATGATCATGCTCCCCAGTCTACAGCAGCAGTACCACCTGCTAGTGAACCTGGTCAAGCCCTCCACGGCTCTGAGAGGCTTCTTCACCCTGGACCCTGTAGCTCTTGCTTCTTTCCTGTATTTTATAGTTCTGATCCACAGTCAGTAAATAACCAGTGATTGAATCCACCTGTATCCAATGAGACACATTGAGAACAACACATTCTGTGGCTGTCAATTGTGAACCTGATGTCGGCACTGTCGGCCCGGCCTGGGTTGTCTCCACATGGCCAGACATGAACTACAAATAAGTGAAGGGACACTAAAAAGGAGATGAGAACCTGAGATAGAGAAAACACATGGCAGCACAGCTTAGGTTTGCAAAGTTGCACCTAACAAACCACAAGATTCGATTGCTCTTTTTAACACTCGTGCAACATGATAGGAAAGGAAGCGTAATCGAGAAAGACGACGTCGGTGCGATATTTGAAAACTGGCTGGCACATAGGGGAGAAGGTTTACCACTTCCTAGTTTGACAGGGCCCGATGAACCACATGATTTATTACACAGAGGAAAAATGCTGACTTTGCAAAGTCATGTCAGCATTTATTAGAAAAAGCCAAGGGATTGAGTAACTCACCACTACACTGGAACTCATCCAGGCAGTCTGACAGTAGTAATATGTTGATGAATGACGAGGTAATATTGTAACGATGAGCCAGAGGAAGAGACGTGGAAGTAGAAATGAATATTCCAGATTCTGTGTCATCAGGTTCAGGAAGTCTTTACTTTTGACTTGCTGGAAACATCTCGGTATGTTATATTTCATATTCTGCAGATGTTTAAACACAACAGTTGGCAACATTTTTTGAGGATTTGAGTATTTTATTTATATAACCTGTTTGACACTCGACCGTCTCCTAATTGCCAGTTAACAATATAAACCTTAGGCTATAGTTCCACACACCAACACAAATCCATATACTAATAAGGGCACACATATGGTCTTTCTTTTTGTTTTTATGTTTGAACATAAAGCCAACAAGACAAAGCAAAGATGAATGCACATGCTTCTATCCTGGATGCAGTGTTCTTGTCTTTTTTGTATGATAAATATAAAGGAAATGTTCTTAACTGCTCCATCCTTTTCCTCCTCCTGCAAACAAACTGGAAAAATAAGCAGCCAGAGGTCAGTCAGTTAACAAATGATGTTAAGAGGCATTAACAGCTACTTTTAATTTCACTTCAGACCTGACTTGTGCATTACAACAATTGCTGGATGGGTTTGTTTAATTTCCATTTAACTGCAAGAGGTCAGCAGCCACTGTCAGTTAAAATGGAAAAACAAAAATTAGTCAGTCATCATTCGTCAGGCTGAACACCATATTTAAGTGCCTGTGAATGTTGAGTGAGGCTGTTTCTCAGAAAGTTCTCAGAGACGTTGGTGGTTTGAAATATTAAAATCTGATAACAGGCAGACATGTTATGTACCACACACCACACAAATGCACAGAAACACTCTGCAGATGTTCCTGCACTTACCAATAAATAACCAAACACGAATCAACTCACTTTCACCCTGATCAGTGAGCCGGACCACCGGTAAAAATGTCAGTCAAGATTCTCTCCATCACGCTCCTCCTGCTCTCAATATGTGTGTGCTGCCACTCCTCTGAAGGTAACTATGATCTTACTTTTCTAAAGGAAAAAAGAGATAAAATATATCAAATTGATAACAGCAGTTACAATTTCTGATGTTGGGTCCTAGCTGTTTGTGAAGAGCCTCACCGTACCCTATGGAGACGACGGCTCCCAACTGTTTATGTTTCAGTTTGATGTGCAAAATGAGTTATTTATTTAGTTAAAGACAAAGTGAAAATGAATCCTTTTAAAAGTTTCGAAAATTTGGTGAACTCTCTCATCTATATTTATTGAAAGTTTCTGATTGTTTGTGATTCTCATAACAAACACCTCAGACAATTTTAAACAGAGTCCATTTTTTGTCAGAGACACATGTGAGAAACATGGCACTCAGCCCATCTGCTTTGAAATCTGTGGGTTGCAAATTTGAATTTATGTTTGTTTTGTTTGTTTATCACCAAACTGTCCTAAAAAAAGAGTTTCAAGATGGCTCCCAAGTGTGAGACAGTTTAATGAAAATCTGTAAAACTTTGATTTTCCTTCTAATCAGACTTTCTCAGGTTGTATGAATAAAATTTTAACTCCTACCTCTCAGTTCCAGCTCATCCTGGAAAGAGATGACCGTGCTGCGTTGACGTCACCTACATGAATAAGAGCGCCGAGGTGGTGGGGGAAACATATCGTCAGCAGGCTGCAAGACCACCCTGTGTGAAGGCTATAATGTAAGTCAGCACGTTGTCCTACATACAAACATACAATCTGTATAACCTTCTGTCTTTTATTTACAGTTTCAACACAGGAAACGGAGGACAACTTTGTGCTGATCCTAACGCTCAGTGGGTCAAAGATCGTAAGTTATGCTAACACACAAACACATGAAAAGTATTTGCAGAGAAAATCTGAAGCTCCCTTTGTCTCTCCTTCCTCCTCAGTCACTGCCAACAAGACGAAGGTGTAGTGAAGTGAAGTTCTCTGGTGAAGCATCACTGCCTGTCTCCTTTGAGATCACCTTTAAAAACGTATTTTAACTCGAGCGCTTTCTTAATGTAACTGTTTCTTTCTGCTTTCATTTACATTTACTCTAACCTGTTGAGTAATCCTATTGTTTATTCTAGGTGACGGCTTTAGTCTTTTTTTGGACCAGCTGTTTTCAAATGGATACGTTTTGACTTCCTTTGTTTTTGTCTTTCTTGCTTATTCATGAATTTCTTTCTTTGTATTATGTGTTGATGTGAAGCACATTCTGGCAGCAAAAAATAATATAAAAAAATAAACTTTTGTATTATTGAGCAAATATTTTTTTCTAGTCTTGTTTACTCTTGTCTACTCACAGAAGACAACAAACATATCTCCCAGTAATTTCCCAGAATTGTGCATGATTCCACCAGTGCATGAGCCAATACGATACACTTTTATTTGAGTCATCATCAAGAGTTTCTAATAGAGGTCAAAGCAGTTACTGTAGTGGTTGGAGAGCTTGACTTCAGCCACTAGGAGCTCCTTACTCAGAGAAGTGGGCGCAAAAGGATCAGCTGCTCCTGACACTCAAAGAGTCGAACATCCATGTTTTTTTTAATTTATTATTCACTAGCTGGGCCCAAGTCTTATTTAGGTTTGATATTGTTTTAGTAGGTAAAAGTGAATGCTTTGACATGAGTTGAGCTGTGGTTTGGGGAAGGCCTTGAAGGGGACTGGTGATGGCTCCCGGGCCTGGCAGATCCCAATGCACTAAATAGAAATGAAAAAGTTAACGAATGGAAAACAAGGAGTGAGGGAGGGTGGGGCACGTAGATGAGAATGAACAGCTTGCAGAACTGGGGGAACCTATATAGATGACAACCGGAAGGAGCGTGTTTGGAGGCGTGGTCCTGCTCCTGAAATTCTGATAGATAATCTCCAATTAGTTTTTGTCAGTCAAGTTAAAAAAAATCAGGCCAAAACATTCCACCACTGAAAAGAACATTCAATCACTCCATCTGTTTGATACGGCTGCACACACAGGGATACAAACAAACAAAGAAAAACCTTGAAGGATATTCTGCCTCCTGAGCTACAGCCACCCAGTGATAAACATGAGTAAACCCTCACTAGGTTTTAGATAAAGTGTACACTCACAAACCTGCATTTGAAACGTTGGCTACCATAGCAGTATAGTTTTGGAACATGGCATTTCGGTCTTCTATCTAAAATAGGAAAACAGGAACATAAATAGTACCATCATTGCCAGACCTGGCCCACATCTGGTTGACATACACCCTGCTATGTAGAGTAGAAAAGTGCCATTTAAGAATCAGTCTGTTCACTGTATGAACAGTTTTGTCGTGTTACTTTTGCACTATTATGTTCCGGCACATGTTGTTTTTACATGGCTTGAATAAGGTACACATTAGGCTGACATCTGGGGCCAGAGCTGAAACTGTTCTGGACCAGCAGTGTGTCTGGAACTGGCCCATGGCTGCACACAAATTACACATGGCCCACATACAACAAAGAACGACAGCCCTTTGGTGGCCCAGACCAGGTTTGCCAGAGGTAATCCACACATGGGCCAGCAAAGGACCACCAGTGTGTCTGGCCTTGTGCTGGCCCATGTGTGGGCCACCTCTGGCAAACCTGATCTGGCCCACCAAAGGGCCATCATTCTTTGCAGTATGTGGGCCATGTGTAAGCATATTGTGTGGGCCAGATCTGGGCCATACCAATTTTGCTATGTGGGTACAGCCCTGCTGTAGCAAATATATGCCTGCTCCTGCTCCTCAGCGTCCCCATAACCTGTCTGCTCCAACCACAGCAGAGCTACTTATTGCAGCTGTATTTCACTGACACTAGTCTTTGGGATGCTATTCTCTGTGTCTTCTTTGTTTAATGTAGGATGGCCAGTAACACAGGACTTATTTATTGTTCTTCTTAATGAGAACAGTTGAGGAAGCAGCTAAACTTCATCCATAGTCAGTTTTCCAATTAAATAAAAAAAGCAAACTAATAAATACATTAAAAAAATAATTAAAGATTAAGTTCATAGAAGTGATTTAACTCTCACTAAGCTTATTTCCACTTGGTTGATTGTTACTCAACTTCCACTAGAAAGTGGGTCATGTACATTTTTCAAACCTTACCCTAAAAACATTTCTGCCAATATTGTAACAATACAACTGCTCTGTGCACACAAGAATAACACCACACCACCATTGCTACCATTTCTAAATGAACAGAAATAAACACAAAATAAAATGTTCAGTCAGCACTCGATGTGAATCAGTGGCCTGAGTGCAGTTTCCTATTTTGGCTGGTGTGCAGAGACAGTTAAAACAGCCGTTTGATTCGAATTTCTCTTTTCTCAGCTATGAAAGCAGTGACCTGCTTTCATCATCATCTTTGTTGTTACCACAGACTGATGGTGGATAGTGTTGGCGTACTACAGTGCTAATCTTCATCTTTCTAGTTTCCGTGCAGAGTTTCAGTTTTACTGACATTTAAGTCACCAATTCAGTCTCAGGAAAACAAACAAAACGAACTTTATTTTGCATGAAAGCTGGTGAATATTAAGAAATACTACAATATGCCTAGCTGTGAGCATGTGAAAGACTAAGCAATGCACACATATGAGCACCATAGGAAAATCACTCAGATGTTAGCTACCCTGCTGTTTTAACATTCTCAGTTTAAAAGCACCTATAAAGGTCTGTTTGGGATCATGTGGCGGCACCAGTGATTGACCCATTAATCCAGGGATTACGAGACAATTTACTCCACAACAGATTCCAGTTGTAACCAAGAGTCATGAGGGTCATGCACAAAAGCACAGTTCTTATAGTAAAGAAACACAGGCCTATAAAGTTCTGTGTGTTCAATCTACAGCAAGAATAATGAGGTCTCACAGTTCAGTTGGTCAGCTATCACCTGGACTGGTGAACAACCGCTGGCTTTTTCAAGATAGTGGTTTTAACCAAGAGCTGCTGGTAGATTGCCTTATCTCCAGAGACTACAGAGACTACTTATAAACTGCACTCTGTACAGTTAATACCAATTTGTCAACCTTACTTTTGGCTTTTTCAGAGCCCCAGTACTTTCTAGGGTGCTGTGTCCGCACACTGCATATGCCACTGCCTACTTGGATGATGTCATTATCACACAGTATCACACGGGGACCATAGTGTGTTGTGCTTGGATGACAGCCATGAAGCTAGAGCATAATAGTGACAAGCAAGAGTCAGAGCGATGTTTGGTGAGTGTGTAAAGCAGCAAAGGAAAAGAAGTAAATCCTCTTTGTGAACTGCAGTAAACCTTGTTAGACTACACGTTTTAGGCTTCTTTCTACTATTTTATGGCACTCATCCTGTCCAATGACCAGTGATTTCATAAACTTGTATCCCACTGCCAACAAGGCTTTCTGTCCTCCAGGTTCAGAACTACAGATCCTGTGGCTGTGGGGTGTAGTGAACCTAGCCTGAGACATCACCACCATACAGTCAGACATGGACTACACACAAGAGTTTTTGACTCCATATCTGTCCTTTTTGTGTATAATATGAAGCATTGTGTCAATGAAGGAATGCTATGTATATAGAGTGAAAGATGGCTGAGGTGGTTAGAGATCAAACTTCAGTCAGAAAATGATGTGGTTTAATTTAAAGATACATGGCACCTATTTTTATTGTTGTATTTCCAAACCCAAACTTTATATTTTGCATGTTTTCTGCATTTCTTGATTTTGCATCTGCATGTTTTTTGTCTGTGGTCACTTTGCACTAGCAGTTTTAGTGTAGTCATTTTGTACCTCTGCGTTATGCCTGTATTTTTTTAGTATTTAAAAAAGAAAGAACGTGGAAACAAAGCACAAGTTTGCAAAGTTTTTATACTCATGCAACATGTTTGGAAAGGAAGCAATATAAAGAAAGACTGTCAAAAATGCCACGAATATCATATTTGAAAACTTGTGCATAGGTGAAAAGATTTACCACTTCCTGATTTGAGGGGGCCTAAGGAACCACATGACTTATGATACAGAGGAAAGATGTTCATTCTCGAAACTCGTCATCATTTATTATAAAACAGAAGTGACTAAGTGACAGAGCACTACACTGGAACTCATAACGACAGTTTAAGAATAGTAATATGCTGATGATTAAAGACGTAGTAGTATATTGTAATGATGGGCCAGAGGCAGAGAGGTGGAATTGAAAATGAATATTTCAGATTCTCTGTTATCAACTTCAGCAAGTCTTCAATTTTAAAGGTTACTGAACTTGCTGGAAACATCTCAGAACATTTTTTGTTACATTTGGTATTCTGCAGAAACACCAAATACATATCCACGCTCGTGGCTCAAGAGTTGGGAGTTTGGCTTGTAAACGGAAGGTTTAGTCTTGGTCGTTGTGTCCTTGGGCAAGACAGTTCACCTGTTGCCTACTGGTGGTCAGAGAGGGCTTAGTAGCCCCAGGGTCCGGTAGCCTCGCCTCTGTCAGTGCGCCCCAGGGCAGCTGTGGCTACAATGTAGCTGCCATCACCAGTGTGTGGATGACTGAATGTATAAAGCGCTTTGGTGTCCTTAGGGACTAGAAGGTAGAAGTGTAATAGACTGATTATAGTAGTCGATTTCACAAAAACAAATTGTAAAAAATCTAATATTTAAAGACAGTGCTGGAGATGCTGAAAATGGGAAAACCTGATAAAAACAACTGAAACTTAGATAGATAAATGATTTTAATCGATTTTATTAGAACACAGTTCTGCAAAGGTCTAAAGAAACTATATTAAAAAGCTCAACTTAACTTACAACATTTAGTGCTAGCTGTGGGCTACACGGGGAGTCAATCTACACTAAGGCTACGTCCACACTAATGCATTTTCATTTGAACACGCATCGTTTTCTCTCCGTTTTGGCCTCCCGTCCACACTGAGACGAAAACACCGCGTTCTGAAAACGCACTCGAAAACGAATACTTTTGAAGACGGTGCTTTCGCGTCACAGTGTGGACAGTGAAAACGCAGACTTCTTAAAATGATGACACATGTTGGTCATATGATGCAGTCATGTGACCAATTAAACTAAGATAGCGGAGGGCATTATGCAGCAGTTGTTTTGTTTGCTCTCAATTTTGACAGCCCTATCAAAGATTAATATCAGTCTGTACATGCTCCAGATAGCTTTTCCTTAAATTCTATAATTCTCACTCACTTTTGCAACTTTGTACTTTTGTGTTGCTCACACCAACAACTGCACCTCATTGTCTCCACCAGTGTGTGAATGTGAGAGTGAATGAATAGTGGAATTGTACAACTCTTTGAGGGCCCCGAAAAGCACTATATAAATGCAATCCATTATTATTATTATTATTAATATTGTTAGTCCATTTAAAAAACTCAGGGCTTTTGCTCGACATTTTGCAAAGAGCCAGAAAGTAAATAAAAAGGCAGACAGAAATGAGGCAGGTCAAATCTTCTTGCGTATCCCGCATGCGTAGTACTGGAACATAAGCGTTTTCATCTGTTTCAATGTGGATGCACAACTCTGTGAAAACGACTGAAAACGCTAGTGTGGACACTGTGCAGTCATTGAATTGACCATGAAGTTCTCTGTATATCAACGTATTCTACAGTCAAATTAGAGGCCATCAGTCTGAATACTAAAGCTTGTCTCACTCAAAGGGACATTGATCCCAAGCCCCTGTAGCACTAAATGAAACCCTAAATAAAAGAATCCAAATGGGTCAGCTTAACAGCTTAATGTAAACAAGAAAATCAAAAGAATTTAATTTAATGGTTTAGATTGCAAGAAAAAGTTTAAGTTGTGAGGATTTAAGATTAAATGTATCTCGATAAGGACCCAAAAAGTCAGTCAGTTATGCAAATGTGGAGAAATGTGCATCAGAGTCATCATGAATTACTTTTATTTCCATTTGAGTCCTGATTCATAACAATCACAACAATTAATTCAATATTTTTCTTATGAACTCCAACAGATAAACAGTCACTGTCAGTGAAAATCGAAAAACTGAAATCTTCAGGGGTCTAGATAGACATCATTCATGACAATGCAGGTGAGTCAGTCACTGGGCTGTACACAAGTTTCTGTGAACTTTGTGTATGTGAGGCTGTTTCTCGGAAAGCTCAGAGTGAGATGTTGGTGGTTTGAAATAGAAAAATCTTCCTGACAGGAGGCGGAGGTGTGATATGTCACAACGACACACACACAAATATACAAACCTATAGAAAGACGTCGTCAGTCGTGCCTGTAGATGTTCCTGCGCTTATAAATAAATAGCTAAGGAATCAACTCGCATAATTACAACCTGATCAGTGAGCCAGACCACCGGTGAAAATGTCTGTGAAGATTCTCTCCGTCACTCTCCTCCTGCTCTCAATGTGTGTGTGCTTCAGCTCCTCTGCAGGTAACTATACTTCTCCAAAGACATATAAAATTGATTAAGTAGCTACTTTTACAGCAATTACTTACTTTTTGGTGAAAGGGGGTGGACTCTCATGGGTTTCACTAGGCAACGACTCCGCTAGTTTCTCTCACCACAAACCTTTACTTCTGGTATCTGCTCATTCAGTACTTTTAAACAGTCTTTTCAGCATTTACACTCTTGCGTTCTATCCACCAAACTCCAGACATCCCTGAACGTGCAGTCAGGCATGACATTTTAAAAGGCGTCCTTTACATTGAAATTTAGGAGAAGGAGATTTTACATCATTCTCCTGACTTTTCTTTTGATTGGGAAATATTTTCATTTGATGTATAGTGATTATACATTTATGCATATCTACATGCAAATGTGTACTTCCTTTGATTTATGGGTTCTGTCTCATGATGCTAAGCATCCCTCGCACCACCCATTCAACTATCATACAAAATACCACAGTGGATGCAGGGGTTCCATTTCAGCTATATGAGCACTCTGTAAACAAATCTTAATGCTGTTTAGTTTTCAAGCTTTCTGCTGTGAGAGGTGCACATTGTGACTCATTGCATAACTATGATAATGTCTTAATACAAACAGGAAATGAAAGACACAGAGACAGAACAGCATGATAAGTTGCAAATGTGCGATAATGATGTTCACCATTCAGCTAGCTGCATATCTGAATTTTGTCTTTGATAAAAGAATGATGTTAATAAATGAAGCTTATTGCCTCATATTCTAGCCAATGTTCTTTATTGACAATTAATAACAATAAGAACAATTCAAGACTGAAAATTCATTTGCAAGATCATGTCTACCAATTGTTTACATTTCAATTTGATGGGTAGGAGTTGAGTAAAGTAAAAAAAATGAAAGCAAAAGTAATTTCTGGAACAACATCCAGCTTTTGTTCATCAAATCCACATCCGGCACATCCATTTAAACTGGAAGTGGATGTCAACACGACAGAATCAGACGCCGCTCAAGAAGTGGAACGTCTAAGTTCAATAAACATCAAATATTCCACCACTTTAAAAGAAGCTGTCGCACTTCGTAGGGATATAAAATCCTCACATTCCTGTTCCACATGTAAAATTACAGTAAGTGTCTCACATATAAAACGGGAGTCAAATCTCACCTCTGTTTAATTATATTTATGGAATATGGTCCTGGTAACAAAAACAGTTACACACTGTCAATGATGAACGTAATTACTAGAGTCTTAAGATGAGCCCCAAGCGGTGAGACCTTCTACTGCAAATACTCTGTTGGCCCACTGTTTCTGTTTTATGAAGATGTTGAAGAACATACTTTGCGAAAACATAGGTCCATATGAGTTACTATTTTCAATGCACTTTGAATGAAAATGTTAAAATTACTTTGAATAATCAAAGTGTAAAATGTGTGATGCACAAAAAAGCCTGCTTACTGTCACGTAATTTTAGGTAACATTTCAACAGCTATGTTGTGTTTAGTGATGTAAGGAGTTTCATCACATTTTAAACCTGGAGTTAACTTTGGTTTTCCTTCTAATCACACTTTTGTCAGGTAAGATAAATCCGTTTTAACCTCCTTCCTCTAAGGTATCCGTGGTCCTACGAAGAAACGCCCTTGCTGCGTTGATGTTACCAACCTCGATATGAGCCCTGAGGTGGTGGGGGAGACATATCGCGAGCAGGCTTCATCATATCCCTGTGTGAATGCTATAATGTAAGTCAGCACATGTTGTCCTACACGCAAACATAAACACATGCAATCTCTAAAACATTCTTTTTTTACAGTTTCAACACAGAATATGGTCAGCTTTGCGCCGATCCTGACGCTCAGTGGGTCCAGAATCGTAAGTTGTGCTAACACACAGACACACAAACACATTGAATGTATTTACAGAGAAAATCTAAAGCTCTCCTTTGTCTCTCTTTCCTCCTCAGTCACTTCCACAATGAAGAAGGTGCAGTGAAGCACAAGTTCTCTGGTGAAGCATTGCTGCCTGTCTGTATCATCTTTGGCCTCACTTTCAAAGATATATTCAAATGAGAATGCTTCCTAAAAACCTTTCAGATTAATTATATTACTGTTACCCTGTATTTAATTCTTGGTTTTCACATCAGTCTTTCATGGTGCCAACCATTTTTTTAAAAGTTAGCATTTAAGCGCTGTCTTTCTTTGACCTTTTTCTTGCTTATATGTGCACTTCAGTTTATTATGTATTTATGTGAAAAAAAACCCAAAAAAATAAACTTTATTATTGTCCAAATATTTTCCTGCTATTTAAATACCCATTAGACTCTCACAATATGTCATACACATATCCCAATAATTTCCCAGAACAGGTATCCCCTGGTGTTTTCAATTGAGCACAAACTGTATAACCCGATATGATACACTGTTTAAGTTATTGAAGCCCACTTTGATCACTAGGAGCTCTTTTCTCGGGGTCTTAGGAATGGTAGGACACTAGAATGTTTTTTTCCAACCTATTTAAGCCATGTCTTAGCTCAATGATGAACTTTAAGTAAAGTCTGTAGCGTGAGCGTGTCTCAGAGTGCAAAATCATCCTTCTGTTGCACTCCACATCTGGCACATTTAAACTAGAAGTGGATGTCAACACAACAGAATCAGACGCTGCTTTCATGCAGGAGGATGCTCAAGAAGTAGCACATCCGAGTTCAATAAACATCAAATATTCCACCACTTAAAAAGAAACCCACACTTCCTAAAGACATAACTTCCTCATATGCTGTTCAGCATAGATAATTACAGTAAGTGTCTGAGATATATCTGATGGCTCCATGTGAAAGAAAAGCAAACCCCTTGTAGGTTGTATTTTAAGGCGAGGGGTGTTACAGCTCAGGGTTTTTGGGCCCCCTTCCCTTTTTTTTACTGTTTGTGCCAATTCGTGTGTGCAGCCCCTGCTGCAGATAGGTGCCTGCACGTGTTCCTAAACCTACCTTCCTATTCTGACTGCTCCTCCTGGTTCCCTGCTCCACCCACAGCAGTGCTACTCATAGAAGGTGTTTTAAATGGATTTTGATTTAAAGCAACTCTGATTTCATAACTCTTTTTTTGATCGTAGCTAGTGCAAGGCCAGTCAATGTCTGATATTTTTAAATCCCTGCAGGACGTTTGTGCTCTGTGATAAACTGTGATAAAACATCAGGAGGCTGGAACAGGTTTTTTATATTCTGTCACTCGACACTGATGCCAGTCAATGCTTCTCCAAGGTGTCAGTTATGCTGCACACACACACACACACACACACAC